TTTTGCTTTGTGTTACGACAATGGACAACCAAAAGTGATGAAATACAATGGACAACCAAAAGTGATGAAATAAGCTTGCTTTGTACTACGACTACTACTGAGTGAACACAACATTTTCATGAGCTTAATCCGAACATTTATTTTGCCTACTTACTAGCTCTGTGTATGGTGTCAACTAATATTTTGCATACTAGACTAGCTTCCAATGTTGGAGGCTTGGAATTGCGAAAAACAACAAAATCAAGCGGATAAAAAAACAGGTTCAAGCTCAAAACTCTGCATCCTAGATGTACATAGCCAAAAAATAGTACAACCATCATACATCCAAAAAAGATACTCTCTCATATATGACAAAATCACCAATAGAATGATGTAGGAAAATTTAAGGAACATGGTATACTTGGTATACCATGACTTGTAGGCTAGGCGCTACCCATGTTGGGTAAACAGGTCTACCATGACTGTTTGGAGTTGAGCGTGCACACCTATCACCAATTAATGGTCCTTCGGGCAGTAAATACTACGTCAAGTATGAAGCCATTGTGTACATAGGATATAACGAACGCATGAAAATTTATTTTCCTTTTATCAAATTAAATTATTTTTGCACAACCATAACGACCAATTTATAACAGCGGCCAACCATACCAGTAACGCTCCAAGAAGGGTATAAATTAGATGCCACCTGAATAATACGTTATACGGCTAAAAAAAGGTTCAAATATATATGCTTAATAGACATATTGTGGTTGACAAAAAAACATTTTGAACAACCCTATCAATTCCTTTTATGAGATTATCCTTATTAATATGACATCCAACGCATATACGAAAAGAAGATTCGCTTTTGATGGTATTTAAAGTTTGCAAAGTTGGCTATTTTGAATAGAACATCACACTGATGAGCGTCGCATACAGCTGTTGGGCAGACAATTGGACGTTATGCTAGTTCCATTTAAAAGAGTGTTCATTGTCAACTAACTGTATATATTATATAATTTACAATATAAACTACACAATTATATGGTGTAAGACGAACTAACCATATCTTATATGGTTAGGTTTCTTGTGGTGGAACCATCCGATCCGGGTTCAAGTCCTAAATTTCATGTGTGCTTGTATATTTTCTAGATTTATTTCTAACTTTCCGGCGTTATTCTTTCAGTGGTATGACGTGCCCGTCAACTATGAGGTGTCTGTGACGACTTCGTTAATCTCAAGACATGCCGACTCAATTTTTCGAATGCGCTCATAGTGATAGGTGTGCATGCAGCATTGTAAGACCATGAACTACTTACTTAATCAAATCATAGTCAACAAATCAATCAAAATGTCAACTATTTCTTTTTATGCGAAGATAAGGAAGTCAGCTGAATTCATTTTGAAATATTTTTTTTTAAGGGTACATGGGCCACGTAGCCAGCCAGCAAGGATGCTCTTAATCCTTGAAACATATGGAGTAACATATAAGTTTATGCTCTTCCTCTTTCTTTCTTTTTCCGAGAGGAAGTAGTGCTAGTGGTAAGGTGTCCACCTCTTGTATGAGGTCAGGTAGCGTCAAAGTGGTTCCAGATGCGGGAAAATCTAGCGATTGATTTGACAGTGCTCAACGCTAAGTTGGGGCTCGGGAATTGGCTATCCCACGCCGCCAAGCGCCAGCTCACCGACGGCCGCCACCGGAGCGGGCGAGCCAGAGAGGAAGGGCGGGCTTCCATGCCACCGCAACCAGCCGGACAAGCAGCTGGGGAGGATCTCGCGCAACACGCATCCGGTGCATCCGCCGAGCGCACAGCGCCAAGGGGCAGCAAGCCGCCGGAGATGCAGCCCGCTTGCCGGAGAGAGGAGGACGGGCTGCCACCCCGTCGCATCCAGCGTCGAAAAAGCTGCCCGAACAACCGCGAGAAGGATGGATTCGAGGGAGGAGTGCGAGCCCCCAGTTCCAGGAGCAGGCCTTCGCCGCCGCCGCCACCCCGTCGCACCCAACAGTCCACAAACGCCGCACTTGTGGCCCGAGTCAAGCTGACTTCAGAGTCCCCGCTCCCGTGTCGCTCTCAGGGGCGACACCGGGGCGCCCCCAACCCTATCCACCAGCACCCGCCTCCACCCCCTCCCCACGCCGCCGCCGCCGGCGAAGTCGCCGGCGGCGGCGAAGGCCTGCTCCTGGAACTGGGGGCTCGCACTCCTCCCTCGAATCCATCCTTCTCGCGGTTGTTCGGGCAGCTTTTCCGACGCTGGATGCGACGGGGTGGCAGCCCGTCGTCCTCTCTCCGGCAAGCGGGCTGCATCTCCGGCGGCTTGCTGCCCCTTGGTGTTGTGCGCTCGGCGGATGCAGCGGATGCGTGTTGCGCGAGATCCTCCCCAGCTGCTTGTCCGGCTGGTTGCGGTGGCATGGAAGCCCGCCCTTCCTCTCTGGCTCGCCCGCTCCGGCAGCGGCCGTCGGCGAGCTGGCGCTTGGCGGCGTGGGATAGCCAATTCCCGAGCCCCAACTTCTCCCTTGATATCCAAATGGTTCCTGCGCACACCCACAAGATGCGCTCCGGGATGGTGGTGATGCGGCAAGGGGATGGCCGTCTGGCGGGGCTGTGTGCCCAGATCCGTGTGCTGCATCGACTCGGGTGGTGGTACGGCCGCTGGTCTGACCTTCTTCCGGTCTGGCTGGGCGCGCGTGGTGAACAGCGTTGTTGGCCTGACGCTCGTCGGGCGGCGTGGTTGGGAATCCCAGTCTGGTGCTGACCAGATCTGGCGACTTCGGCCCCGGCGAGTTTTGTGGCGCGGCGGTTACTCCGTCCAGTGGCGTGGTGGCGGCTTGCTGCTGGCTGCACGGCAGTGGGTGGCTGGGAGGTGGAGTTCTGGCCATGTGCGGCGTCGGGGCTGCCATGGCCCAATGCTTCATGGTGATGCAGGTTCGCGGTCTACCTCAAATAATCTGTTCATAGGGTGTGTGTATGTTCAACTTGGCGAAAGCCATGCTCTGCTCAGAGCCAACGACGGTGACGCCCGTGGGCGCCACTAACCTTCTTGAAGGCGTCGTTGAAATGTTGATCTCGCCACCTTTTGCTCAACTTCGGAGGAAACTCTGCTTCTAGGTCCGCCTGGAACCGATGATGGCGGCGCAAGTGTGCGTCACCCCCCTTCTTGAAGGCATCATCGAGAAGTTGGCCAGGTTATTTTGTTTGGTAGGTGGGGATGTCGGTGGTGGTGGTGCGACTAGCTCGGGGTCGACGGTGGTGTGTGTTGGGGTCTGGCAACAACACCGATCCGTGTTGTGGAGCTGCCATCTCTACCCTTTGTGTGTTTTTGGTGGTGTTCTGTTGGGGGGCGGCGGTGGTGCCTTTGTGTCGTCCCTGTTGTTGTGTAGGCTCAAGACCCCCCCCCCCCATGGTTACCGTTGTGTTGTGGCGAGCTTCGTGCTCTTGGGATTGTCTCGGTTCATCTTTGCTCAATGACGACGCAAGAAGCCTCCCCAACTTGCTAATCGTTCTGAATTCCATTGGCGGAGCTCCGAGTCAAGGTTCGTGCTTGGCACTCGTTGATTGTGGCGCTCCTGTGTTGCGCCGTGGGTTCGGTATGCACGCCGGTGCGGTGCGTTAGGTTGCTCGCAAAGTCTTGGTATTGTGATCCTTCGACGACACCCTACATCTACTTGTGTCTCTCGTGGTGATGGTCCTTTTCGCCTACTAGCTAGGTCCTGCCTTATCTTGGGCATCATGTTTTTCTCATCCTTTTGTACTCTTGTTACTTGTACGGTTTTCGGCCCGGTTTCCCTTATAAACGGGGTCAACTTGTTCAGGTTTTCGATCCGGTTTTCCTTATAAACTGGATCACTCTCTTGGCATAATGGGCACTTTGAGTAATATATTCAGGTGGAAGAACTCCTCCTCCGGTGATTTCTCAAAAAAAAACCATTTGACTTCTTAGGGTCTGAAAGGCCAGGCAGAAATGACCTACCTTAGATCAACAACAAGATAATACATAAAATCTCTTGCTCCATGTAAGCCAGCTTCGGAGATGAGTTACATGGATTGCTTGGACGTAAGAAAATCACTAGCACCCGAACACCCTCAAATGTCAACTTCTTTCCAGCTCTCCTCTGCAGTCTCAGAAAGTGGTACAGCTCTTCTCGTACTGAAGCTGACCTGTGCGTGTGTTTCATCTCCATGCAGCGCCATTAATTTGTTGCTTGTAAAGCAGCAAATGTTCATGTTCATGTAGTACTTTTTTTCCAAAAAGAAGGTTAAACCCTTGGCTTCTGCATCTTAGTGATGCTGTTGTTGTAGTACTTACTTGTCAACATAAAACTGTGAGCACGGAATTCCTCGACACCGGCTGACATTGGCTTGTTTGTTGGGCCGAGACTTGGATAGCAACATACACTTTTAACCTGACCATTCAGAACTAGTCTTGAGTCTTGGTCCAAATTTCACAGTTTCACCTGGTATCATGGTATAGGTGGCTAATCAACTGGCGCCACTCAACCCGCGGGCTCAAGCTTTCGCGACTTCGGCTCTGACCTTTCTCTGGCTCTGATCGAGTCATGCAGGTCAGTTTCTGGACGAATCTGAGTGTTTCAGACAGAGTATGTCAATTACGAGTGACACCCGTCGTCGTCTCGGCCTCGCGCACCTGAGCCTTTTAGGTTCAAACTGCTTGTTGAGTCTAGACTAGACCGCCGGTGCATGTCAACTTCTAGATGGGTATATTGGCCGTGTTCGTCGATCAGGTAAACGAAGATGTTCGTATGAACAAAGAGATACTACTTGTGACATCTCGTCGTCAAGAGAGAGATGGATGGACATGGAAACCACTTACCTCAATAGACTAACAAACTAAACGGAGAAGAGGAGGATACGCACCGTTTATTTATTTCTGTGCGACCATATTATGACGATACAGATTTAGTCAGACATGCACTAGAACCGTTACAACTGTACTGAAATACAACTACCTTTACAGTCATAGTACACATTGCTATTTTACAGGAAATACAACTCTGTCTTCAGTTATTTGTATGTGGCACTTAATCGTTCTTTCAAATAGTCACCCGCCGTGATAGGTGGAAACCTGAAAAGGCACTTCAAGAATTGTGACAATCAATCTTTAACATATACTCCCTACAAAAACGTCTCATATTTTGGTACAGAGGTACTCCCTCCGTCTTATAATATAAGACTTATATTATGAGACGAAGGGAGTAGTAACCACTAAAATCTTCGGGTAAAAGAAGAGGACCTTGGAGGATATGCGTCGCAGCAACAGCTTTCCAAGCACTGCACCACTAGATCGGGTCTTGGGTCCAGAAAGTAAGCCGCCTGATGCATATGAAGACGTGTGTAAAAGATAAAACATGCTTTAACATTAAATCGTAAATCTATGAGCTGCGATGCTACTTCTATGTTACTGGTGGTGGTTTTCCCATGAAAGAAGAGCCACACCTGACTTCTTCAAGAGATATGTTATAAACAATGATAGTAACTGAAAACCCTTTATGAAAAATCTGAATTAAGTAGTTAGGATACTCACAGAATATCGCTCTCTGCCAACTGCAACAACCCGATGAAGTGTAGATCTGCAAGTTACAGAAAAAGGTGCAAACGATCAAAGTTTTTTTTTTCGTACACAAGGTTTCTGCAGAGATAAATTGGACCAGAAGTGCACAAGACATCATAATCCAGAAGAACCTTCTGAGCATTTCAGAATTTCTGGCACAACTGCTACTGCAGACATGATGGATTCCACACAACATGTTAAAAATGTAGTACCTGAAAACACAATTTGTCCACCTTTCTAGCAAATCGCCAATGTTAACAATAAGGGTCCTACAAGTTCACAAGATTTGTTAGGATCATTTGTCATACCTGCAACATATTGTCTAAAAGCATGCAACATATGTCTAGTGCAACATATTTACCCATCAACATGACGAACATCTTCCCAGAGCTGGGGATGCCTATCCTTCTCCCTGCATATCTGCACCCACAACAGTGCAAGTATCCAGCATATAAAATTATAAATGCAAAAGCAATGATGTCATGATTTCTACTTTTCTAAAACAAGATTTATTGTTTGTTGAAGTGGCAAAACATAGCCTCCTGCTCAACCAAAAAATTTGAACATACATTTTGTACATGAGTGATTAGCTGCACAAGAGAACAAAAATGAAGTTGAAGAATTAACTGAAAGAGTACCTGCAAGCCAGGAGTGCCATCTGTTGCTAGAAGAGTTATCATTCCATAATCTGAATGAGCTGATGCACCATAATTTCCATTATCAGACTCGTTTACTTCACCTACAGTAAACTTTTTATTATTTTCCATTCTGTTTTCTCTACAAAAATAACATTTAGAAAGGAAAAAGAAAAGGAATACCCCTTCCGTTCACAAATATAAGATGTTTAAAAAAAATCTGAATCGGATGTATATAACACATGGTGTGTTCGTTCACTCATTTCAGTCCGTATGTAGTGCATATTGAAATATCCAAAACATCTTATATTTGTGATCAGAGGGAGTACTATGTAAGGAAATACTTATCAGGCCTGTTTACTTCACCTACAGTAAACTTGGAATTCTTTTCCATTCTTTTTTCGCTACAATCCCCTTCAGCCGGGTTTCAAAATTCAAATTGCTATGCTAAATCTTGCAGTGCCACTGCCCATGTTGGAACTGCTGCCCTTGTAGAGAACTTGTGTTGTTGGTCAACTACAGGTGATCGCTTTTGGGCGTGGCAGATTTTTTACAGGTATGCATACTTCATTTTTTAGATTCTGTAGTATTATCAGACTTCGTCCTGATTAGCAGTGCAGCTTTAAGCAGCATAATGTATAGGACCTGCTGCTAAAAGAACATAGCTAGAGGTTGCAAGTATGCTTTCTACACTAAATCTGTTGAAGTATCAATGATGTAAGGGATTTTAGTTATTAGGTAGTAATATGAGGGATGTGGATGTGGCATGGACAATTGACTGGAGGCGAGAATGTAGTGACTGAAGGCGTGGCACGGAGTGCATAGCCAAATTAGCCTATGTTTGAACAGTATGACTTTGATCCATGGCAAAGCACTGATATTAAGCTAGTGTGTGAAAGAAGCCACCCAAGCAACCATGAAAATGAATAGGAACAAACAAAAGGCAACATAAAGCATGTATCTACCTCTCCACGGGATATAATTAGAATAGAACTTCTGATTCTTTCAAATGACACAAAGGAAAGACAATGATGTAACCTGGGTAGTGCAATAGCCGAATAACTTCTGAAGAGCAGTCGACTGCACCAATCTTCTGAAAGAATTCAGCTTCTAGGTCCAGACTCAGAGCAATTAGAGAGAGTATCCTTTTGCCAGCAGCCCTGGTTGGTAATCAGAATTCAGAAACAAAATTGACTATTCCTGTTTTAGAAAGCTCAATAAAAAGAACATACAAATGCTACACTGGAAGTCTGAAGCAATGCTCTTGGTAATATAATTGATCGATTTCATCTTGCTGAGACATGGAAAAAAACTCACAGTGCAGCTTCATGGTACAGCTTCATTGTATCCTTCCAAGATGGAAAGCGCTCTGCAGTTAAATTAATCAGAACGTTTCATTTTGTATGTTGAGAAAAAGCAAGGCAAAAAAGGAGAAGACTCAAATAACACGATTGATGTCTATATATACTTATAAGGATGACATTTAACAAACTTATCAGTTCTTAAGAGATGGCAAAGCAGATTAAGCACCTTTAGGAGGCCATTGGTTAGGATCATTCGGCATATCTACATCCCTGACCGCCCCAATGTAGAAACTCTCCTTGAGGTCTCCTGCTCAATATCACAAAATTCACAATCAGGGATCACAATATATCACTAGAAACAGCAGAAATGCCGAAGGTCAAGTCTAGAAGACGCGGTGGTTGCTTCAAGCTATAGGATGTGAGGAACTGAGGATAATATCAATGGGTTCTTCAACCCCTATTCTGCTCTGCTGCATTTGTAACTAACTAACTCTCTCCCCACCAGGCCACCACAACATCTGAGCAGACAAAGTAACTGAAGCACGATGACAAATACTTCTAGGCTTCTAGCTATCCTGGCTTCAAAAGAATCATGTGAGTATTCTATTGTCTGCAGACAAAGTAATGACGTTCAGCTAGTTGTTCAATTTTAAATGTCACAAGTCGTAAACAATGTTGCTCGAAGAGAACAGCTTCCCATCTCAGTAAACAATACTATTGGTAACCTGGCACGTATCCTGAGCCATAATTTATACGTACTACTTGAATTTAACACAGAGATCGATTCAGGTAGATCAGGAACTGGATTTAACCCTGGAATTCGGACGACTCGTCCAGCTTCTCGGCGTAGGGCGGGGTGTAGCCCCGGTGGCTGCTGTTCCTCTGCAGCAGCATCTTCTCCTCCAGCGGCAGCTCGAAGAACCTCTTGCTCTCGGCGAACAACGCCTCCAGCAGGCCGTCCTGGATCCCGTGGTTGGTGACGTAGAAGAACCCGCTCTCCACGCATGCCTGTAAAACCAAACCAAATCGCACATGGCGTGACGCTTCTTGGTGGTTCCACGAATCAGAGAAATCATGCGAGCAACCTTCCGGACGGCGTCCACGGCGGATTTGAGGTCGGGGGATGCGAGGTCAACCACGGGGAGGTCCAGGCTACCGCCGGCCATCGCCTGCTGCTCTGCTTCTGCTGACGCCTGCGTCTGACTATGTCTGAATCTCGGTCAGTCTATCTTTATGGATGGGCTTCGGCGGAAGGCTTGGCTGGGCTAGAGCAGACCTGGACACATGGCCCCGCCCGGACCGGATGTAAAAGGGCCAGGCATAGCAACCGCAAAAGAAAAAAAAAGGGCCTGGCATAGCACGGCCCTTGCCGGAGGACGCGCCAATGTCTCGCTTATAGCAAGACCCGCTCGCGTCAGGCGCCTACATAAATAGACCGGCCCAGTGCGCAGGAGCCACAGGCGAAAAATGTTAAATTTGTATAGAGAAAATGTTTACCATGTATATAAAATGTATACAATGTGTAGGAAAAGATTTAATAATGTATTTAAAATTTTTAATCAAGCATTTAAAAAATACTCCCTCCGTCTCAAAATAAGTGTCTTAACTTTATACTAACTTTAGTACAAAATTGTACTAAGGTAAAGACACTTATTTTGGGACGGAGAGAGTATTAATTAAGTATTTGAATTTTTTAATAAGGCATTCAAAAAACTTTAAATCTGTAAAGAAAAATGGTCGTCATGTACATGAGAAATATATAGGGTCGCTATTCGTCACCCTGGGTGAGGAATAGTTATTCTTCACCCCTCTCTATTTTGACGTCAATGCACCGTATTTTTAGGTTCCGCAAATTTTGTCTTATTTTATACGTAAAAAGAGAACGTAAGAAAATATATACTCGTCGTAAAAAATATTTTATGTTACGTAAAATTACGAACGTAAAACATAGTGTAAAACATACATAAAATGCGATATTTCTAGTCTTATAACGTATTTTTTTGTTTTCTTATATCAAATTTTACGTAGTGAATCAATATAAATGTAACTATTTGTATTTCAAACGTAATTTATTTATGAAGCGGTCGTAAGATTGCGTCAGGTGAAGAATACTATGTGTATGAAAAATGTTGATCATATATTTAAAAATATTAAATGTATATAAAAAATATTCCTAGTGTACACAAAAAATGTACATTATGTGTGATAAAATGTTCATTTCCATTCAAAAAAGTATGTCGTGTATTGAAAAATGTTTACCATGTACTAAAAATGATAATCTTGTATTATTATTATTGTTATTATTTTACATGGTAACATGTGTTTCATTTATATCATAAGGATCATAGTACAACCTACTTACATATCAATCTAGCAAAACTTAAAAAGTAGCAGAACGCTAGTCTTTGCACAAAGGAATGTTGGGGAACGTAGCATGCAATTTCAAAAAAATTCCTACGATTACGCAAGATCTATCTAGGAGGTGCATAGCAACGAGAGGGTAGAGTGTGTTCACGTACCCTCATAGACCGAAAGTGGAAGCGTTAGTTTAACGAGCTTGATGTAGTCGAACGTCTTCTTGATTCAACCAATCAAGTACCGAACGTACGACACCTCCGAGTTATGCGCACGTCAGCTCGATGATGTCCCTTGAACTCTTGATCCAGCAAAGTATCGAGGGAGAGTTTCGTCAACAGTACAGCGTGGTGACGGTGATGGTGAAGTAATCCGCATAGGGCTTCGGCTAAGCACTACGACAATATGACCGGAGGAGTAAACGGTGGAGGGGGTGCCACACACGGCTTAGAACAATTGTGTGTCTAGGAGGCTCCCCCCCTCCGACGTATATAAAGGAGGGAGAGGAGAGGAGGCCGGCCAAGGCGCGCCCCCAAGGGGAGGAGTCCTACTAGGACTCCACGTCCAATTCGGACCCCCCCTTCCTTTTAACGGAGAGGAAAAGGGGGAAGGAGAAGGAGAAGGAGAAGAAAGGGGGGGCCTTCCCCACTCCAATTCGGACACCTTCCAAGTGGGGGGCGCACCAGCCCCTTGTGGGCTGGTGTGCCTCCCTCCCAAGGCCCATGTGGCCCATTACTTCCCCCGGGGGTTCCGGTAACCCCCCGGTACTCCGATAAGTACCTGAAACACTCCGGAACCATTCTGGTGTTCGAATACCATCGTCCAATATATCAATCTTTATCTCTCGACCTTTTCGAGACTCCTTGTCATGTCCGTGATCTCATCCGGGACTCCAAACAATCTTCGGTCACCAAAACACATAACTCATAATACAAATCGTCATCAAACGTTGAGCGTGCGGACCCTACGGGTTCGAGAACTATGTAGACATGACTGAGACATATCTCCGGTTAATAACCAACAGCAGAACCTGGATGCTCATATTGGTTCCCACATATTCTACGAAGATATTTATCGGTCAAACCGTAATGACAACATACGTCATTCCCTTTGTCATCGGTATGTTACTTGCCCGAGATTCGATCGTTGGTATCTTCATACCTAGTTCAATCTCATTACCGGCAAGTCTCTTTACTCGTTCCGTAATGCATCATCCTGTAACTAACTCATTAATCACATTGTTTGCAAGGCTTATCATGATGTGCATTACCGAGAGGGTCCAGAGATACCTATCTGATACTCGGAGTGACAAATCCTAATCTCGATCTATGCCAACCCAACAAACACCTTCGGAGATACCTGTAGAGCATCTTTATGATCACCCAGTTACGTTGTGATGTTTGATAGCACACAAGGTATTCCTCCGGTATTCGGGAGTTGCATAATCTCATATTCAAAGGAATATGTATAAGTCATGAAGAAAGCAATAGCAATAAAACTTAATGATCATTATGCTAAGCTAACGGATGGGTCTTGTCCATCACATCATTCTCCTAATGATGTGATCCCATTCATCAAATGACAACACATGTCTATGGTTAGAAAACTTAACCATCTTTGATTAATGAGCTAGTCTAGCAGAGGCTTACTAGGGACACTTTGTTTTGTCTATGTATTCACACATGTATTAAGTTTCCGGTAAATACAATTCTAGCATGCATAATAAACATTTATCATGACATAAGGAAATATAAATATCAACTTTATTATTGCCTCTAGGGCATATTTCCTTCAGTCTCCCACTTGCACTAGAATCAATAATCTAGATTACATTGTAATGATCCTAACACCCATGGAATCCTGGTGTTGATCATGTTTTGCTCGTGGAAGAGGCTTAGTCAATGGGTCTGCAACATTTAGATCCATATGTATTTTGCAAATCTCTATGTCTCCCTCCTTAACTTGATCACGGATGGACTTGAAGCATCTCTTGATGTGTTTGGTTCTCTTGTGAAATTTGGATTCCTTCGCCAAGGCAATTGCTCCAGTATTGTCACAAAAGATTTTCATTGGACCCGATGCACTAGGTATTACACCTAGATAGGATATGAACTCCTTCATCCAGACTCCTTCATTTGCTGCTTCTGAAGCAGCTATGTACTCTACTTCACACATAGATCCCGCCACGATGCTCTGCTTGGATTGCACCAACTGACAGCTCCACCATTCAATATAAGTATGTATCCGGTTTGTGACTTAGAGTCATTCGGATCAGTGTCAAAACTAGCATCAACACAACCATTTACGACGAGCTCTTTGTCACCTCCATAAACGAGAAACTTATCCTTAGTTCTTTTCAGGTATTTCAGGATGTTCTCGACTGTAGTCCAGTGATCCACTCCTGGATTACTATGGTACCTCCCTGCTAAACTTATAGCAAGGCACACATCAGGTCTGGTACACAGCATTGCATACATGATAGAACCTATGGCTGAGGCATAGGGAATGACTTTCATTTTCTCTCTATCTTCTGAAGTGGTCGGGCATTGAGTCTGACTCAACCTCACACCTTGTAACACAGGCAAGAACCCTTTCTTTGACTGATCCATTTTTAACTTCTTCAAAACTTTATCAAGGTATGTGCTTTGTGAAGTCCAATTAAGCATCTTGATCTATCTCTATAGATCTTGATGCCCAATATATAAGCAGCTTCACCGAGGTCTTTCATTGAAAAATTCTTATTCAAGTATCCTTTTATGCTATCTAGAAATTATATATCATTTCCAATCAATAATATGTCATCCACATATAATATTAGAAATGCTATAGAGCTCCCACTAACTTTCTTGTAAATACAGGCTTCTCCAAAAGTCTGTATAAAACCATATGCTTTGATCACACTATCAAAGCGTATATTCCAACTCCGAGATGATTGCACCAGTCCATAAATGGAGCGCTGGAGCTTGCGCACTTTGTTAGCACCTTTAGGATCGTCAAAACCTTCTGGTTGAATCATATACAACTCTTCTTTGAGAAATCCATTAAGGAATGCAGTTTTGACGTCCAATTGCCAGATTTCATAATCATAAAATGCGGCAATTGCTAACACGATTTGGAAAGACTTAAGCATCGCTACGGGTGAGAAGGTATTGTCGTAGTCAACTCCTTGAACTTGTCGAAAACTTTCGCAACAAGTCGAGCTTTGTAGACAGTAACATTACCATCAACATCAGTCTTCTTCTTGAAGATCCATTTATTCTCTATGTCTTGTCGATCATCGGGCAAGTCAACCAAAGTCCATACTTTGTTCTCATACATGGATCCCATCTCAGATTTCATGGCCTCAAGCCATTTCACGGAATCTGGGCTCATCATCGCTTCCTCATAGTTCGTAGGTTCGTCATGGTCTAGTAACATGACTTCCAGAACGGGATTACCATACCACTCTGGTGTGGAACGTACTCTGGTTGGCCTACGAGGTTTGGTAGTAACTTGATCTGAAGTTTCATGATCATCATCATTAACTTCCTCACTAGTTGGTGTAGGCATCATGGGAATGGTTTTCTGTGATGAGCTACTTTCCAATTTGAGAGGAGGTACAGTTACCTCATCAAGTTCTACTTTCCTCCCACTCATTTCTTTCGAGAGAAACTCCTTCTCTAGAAAGGATCCATTCATAGCAACAAATATCTTGCCTTCGGATTTGTGATAGAAGGTGTACCCAACAGTTTCTTTTGGGTATCCTATAAAGACGCACCTCTCCAATTTGGGTTCGAGCTTACCAGGCTGAAGCTTTTTCACATAAGCATCG